GATTCTTCTCCAACCATTTATTGGCCTACTTGTCATGCATGCATGCATGTATATGCAGAAGTTGGTAATACATACATACTTATATATATATATATACATACATGTATGTATATATATATATATAAGTATGTATGTATTACCAACTTCTGCATATACATGCATGCATGCATGACAAGTAGGCCAATAAATGGTTGGAGTAGAATCTGATGAACCCTCGACTAGACATAATTTGAATAACTTTCAAAATAATGAAATTTGGGTCAATAAATTCGTTCAAATCTCTAACTTCCAAAGAATTCTAAAGTACTTGGTCCTTGAGCGGGCAACTACAAAACAACTTTTTGCTTCTCCATGTGACTAAATTTCCTAATATAAATGAGTGATAATCTACAAGAATTTACGATTTGTTACAAATCTACTACAATCAGCATCAAATGAAGATATTAATACCTATGATAGTCCATTTTTTAATAACCTCCTCATATTCCTTTTTGAGATATCTTAATATCCTAAAATAACAAAAAGGTTCTCCTTTATGGGGTAATTCATAAAATGACTAACACTAACAGAAAAATAAATATTAGATCAAATGTAAAATACGTAGGTAATTGACGCGGGAGCCTTTCCGCTTCCCGCAACCCCGATAGCAGGATCGAAGCAGAAAAGGTTCTCAAACCACTGCTACAGTGCCTATCGAGCTTTTCTCTATTCCCTCGACTATCTAGCCATGTGGAACCCTCCTTATTGATATTTTAATATTACCTTAATTAGAATTAGGCTTATTTCTGCATAAGAACTATTTATATGCTTGTTTTTATGTTTTGAGGAGACTACTGATATGATTTATGTTATTTGGAGATGTTTTCTCCTAATTATCTTTGTTGGAATGTTGTGGCCTTAGATTTCTTTCAGAGGCGTGTCTGCAACCTGATAGGATCGAGAGGGTGATGTCTTCTGGATGCTTGGAGGCCTCCTTTGTCGTCCAATTTGCAGCCAATTGTTGTAAGTACTAGTCTTATTAGTTCAGGTTTGTTGTCCCAACGTTTAGTGATTTTCTTTGTTGTTTTCAGTTGGGACAGCCGTAGAGTGAAGCTTATCCCACTCCAAACTCCCATAATTCATTCCCTCGTTATTCCATAACCACCCCCTCTTCTAAATTATCATATAGGAACCCTGGAATAGTGACATTTGGTAATAGGATCCAACACACCATAAACCCCTCTTCTAAATTATCATATAGGAGCCCTGGAACAGTGACATTTGGTAATAGGATCCAACACACCATAAATACCTTATTAAGGAATTATCCTTCCTACACCTAAACCAAGTTTCCATGTAACCTAACACCCCCACCAATAACTATTTTTTTCATAAATCATTCCTACAACAATTCCTATCCCAATCCTAAATTTCAAAATTCAACCTTTCCGCCTTCAACAAAAATCCATCCCGACACCTTTCCACCAAAACCTAAACCTCAACACACCTTGAATCGCAATCCTACATTCGTTGAAAACAAAATCGAGAGGAAATGACACAATGCCACTTATGAGAAACTCACAAAGCGGTGTCTAAAAATTTTCTATGAAATATATGTAGTGGGAAATCCTCCAACTCCAATAAAGACTTGCCGCAACAGTGACTTGCCGAAGAGGTCACCAGTAGCCACAACAGTGACTTGCCAAATCAAAAGGATGAAATAGATCTCTTCCACCAAGCAGTTTCCAGTGAAGAAGAACCACTACCCAAAAGATTTGGCATGAGAAGTCGAGATCCTGGAGTAAAAGCGGGTTTACGGGATTTTGACGGTTACAGAGATTCAGAAGAATTCATCGAGTGGCTCCAAGCAGTATAAAGGGTCTTTGCATACAAATATATTCCGCCATAAATAATGGGAAAATTAGCAACCATCAACTTAAAAAAGAGAGCGTTGCTGAGGTGTGAAAATTTGAGGCACTAAGCCAAAATTACCAAGATGAAAAGAGACATGCAACCCAAGTACCTACAACCATATTACAAGCAGGATATGTTTTTGAGTTCATCAGTTACAACAGAAATATCTCTCAGTAGAAGAGTGAGTACAAAGCCAATTTTGAACAGCTTATACTGAAGTGTGGGCTAGTGGAGCCTGAGGAGAGCACCACAACTCAATATTTGAGAGGATTGAGATCCTCTATTGGCAATGTTGTACAGTTGCAACAAAATTAGACCTTACAAGATATCAAAACCTTAGCCCTAAATGTGGAGAGACAACCTAGCAGTATTAGGTCTAGACCACACTTCAAACAAAGTTCAACCATCATATTCATATCAAGCATCAAGAGTACACCCAGTAAAGCATCTAAGCAAATCCAGCCAGAGGAAGTACAAAGTGGAGAAAAGGTGGGGACCACAAATACTCCCAAATTTATTCTCGTCAGTAAATGCTTCAAGTGTCACGGTTTTGGCCACGTGGCATCTGATTGCCCAAATAGCAGAGCAGTCACTTTCACTGAGCAAGGAGCAATTGAAGAAATGGATAGTGACACATTAGAGGATAAAACCTTCAGAGCCCATGAGAGAGCTTC